TTATTTTATTAAAAATATCCAAACACGTTGCGTAACAAAATTTTTAAGTCTTATCGCGTTAATCTTCCACCCTGATACAGAGAAGGATTATTATTTGGGTCTTTTTTTTCTTTTTTTTGGAAATACCACTGTTAGGGATAACAGGTGAACATTCATGGAACAAAAAAGAAATAACTGAATCTCTCTGAAAAAAGAAGAACATGGCTATGTTTTTCTGCTCTTGACCTTTCAGAAAAAGTAGAGGAATTTATACGAACCAAATTAAAGGCACACAGCAGAAAACTGGGCAGGTTTTGACATTGAAGAATAATCTGGAAAAGGAAGCACCGCGTTAGCGAATCCTGCAGCTACAATCAAGTTAGCTTCTGATGCTGAATTTGTGTGTGGGTTTGCTTTTCCGTACTGTTTGAATCCTGGGCCTAATTTCTGCTGCTGGTAATTCCTGGCTCCCATCCGTAAATTTACTGAATTGTTGTTGAAATATTTTAGACATATCCAAAAAAGTTAATATGTCATAAATGTATGAAATACTAACTCGAGTTTTAATGTGTCTAATTAAAGACTCGATTTGTTTAAAATAACTTGCTAAAAAATAATCTTGGCATGAAAAAGTATTTTGCATGAAAATTATTTTACAGGAAAACAGGAGTTATTTTCCCGAAAATGTTTGGCTTTAACATAAAACATTCTTTGAACATAATTTCTTGTTCAACAATTTTGATATAAAAATTAATTTATCCATTCATATACACATAATGCATTCTACACTTATTATATTATTCATAGAGGAATGACATTAAAGATAAGATTTAAATATTATAGTTTTTCTATTTATCAAAATGTGTTCTCATAAGTATAGGCGAATACGGCTATAATTGATGACTAATTTAAGATCTAATAATATGAGAGTTATAATTTTTAACCCGAACAGTGTATGTCTTAATGTGTAAGGATGAATTTCAACAATATTAAGTATATAATTACTTGATTAAAATATATATTATTAAATGGTATGAGGGTTTAACAATTTAGAATTTTAATAAATATATTTAAAGATAATCATGTTGCACGAAAAGTATCGAATTAAAAATCTATTTAAATGTATAGACCTATGTAAAAATATTTTACATTCCATGAAAAAAATCCTTGGACGACATTTTGGCACTTCTAAAGAAAAATAAGTACTATAATTACTTTAAAATATATATTTTAAATGGTATGAGGTTTAACATATTTTAATAAATATATTGTTAAAATAATCATGTTGCAAAAAGTATCATGTAAAATCTATTTTAAATGTATAGACTATTAATAAATTATTTTAAACATTCCTTATGAAAAAAAATCCTTGACACATTTTTGGCACTTCTAAAGAAACTGCGGGTCCACAATTGCAACTCTTCAACAGGTGGTGTATTCCTTGGTGGACCAAAAAGACTAGTTTTGGATTATGAAATAAATTAGGAAAATGTTTTCCCATGTAAATAAGGGTAAGTCATTTTTCTTAATTGCTAACTTGTTTTCTATTGACCAACAACTTATTTTTCCTTAACTTATTTTCTTTTAATGTTCTAAACAATGAAAAATTATGAAAAATATTTTTCTGTAAATTATTTTGCAGAAACAATAGAGCATTAGTTAAATAATTTTTAACACTTATTTTAATACTTTTGATACCTTGATATACACTTTTCATCTTAAAATAATTAGTTGAGTTTTAGTAGAGATATAAATGTTGAGAGATGAAAATGACATATTATTGACTCACGGTTTTTTTTTTTTCTTCACTTCTTCTTAGTTTTCTTTTTTTTTTTTCCATATTTCTTATTTTGTTATTTGTTATTAAGGAAAGAAAAATCTACAAATATAAGTGGGATGGGCAAAATTCGATAATTACTGATTTATCGAACCAAACCAAGATTATTCAGTAAAAATGGGTATGTAAAATAGTAAATGGAAAACGGTCTGTAAATTATTTAAATAAAATTCGGTAAATAGTATCAGCAATGTATTCAACAAATTTAGAATTCTCGATTTATCAATTTACTCAAAATAGTATCATTTTAAAATTTTTCTTAAAAAAAATACTCAACCCTTTTATGGTAAATTAATCACTTCAATAAATCGATCGGTAAATGGTAAAAACTTCATCGATAAATATATAAATCGATTGGTGAATGGTAAATACTCAATCGGGGATCGGTAAATGCAAATTTAGTAAATGGTTAACTGAGCCGACTAAATGTCCACCCTAAATATATGTTGATGTATTCTTCAAAAAATATAATGAAGAGATAAAATCTATATTAAGTGTTGCAAGTTATAAATTAAAAAAAAAAAATTGAAATAGTTTCAATTTTATGAACAAATTCTAAATTCTTTTCTTGTTGTTTCTTGTATTTGGCTTGAAGTTTGGGCAAATTGAAGATCAAGTCAACTTCATCTGGAGAGAAGGAAACTTGATCTTTTGAAGTTTGGATAGACCTATCAGAGGTACTACAAATAAAGTGCTAAAAGCCTTGAAGGAAAAGTTGTATTTCCTAAATGATATATTTTTATATACATATCCTAAATGATATTAGATATTTTAGATGCAATATATTGGGTATTAAATTAAATTATAATTAACTCTGGAATAAAATTTTTGAGATATTTTGCTGTAATTTTTCTATGCATTTTTATGCTTTTGATGACCCAATGAGTATATTATATGGTGAAACTACAAGAAAGACAATTAACTTTCTTTATTGGTACAGAAATTATTTTGTACCATTAGATTTTAGTTGTTCAATAACACCCATTGGATCAAACTTTAAAGTGGTAAATAATTAATTGCTAAACAAGTTAACTATTTTATTTTTACTTCATCATTTAAAATTATAAAATATAGTTGGAAACTTTCTCCTAAATTCTCATATGAAGTTGTATTTTTACATTTCCTCAAAACATAAAATAACTTTTGCAGTAACAACCTCATAGAAAGAATAAGAACTATTTGAAAATGATTGGGTTTGTAAGGTGTGATAATAGTTAAACTCCAAGGAGGAAACACAAATTTTGATACGCGAACAACTAAAGAATTAATTATAAAAAATATACTCTTACATAGAAATAAAAAGAAAAAAAAAAAAGAAGAAAAACTAAAATGACCATCTTAAGCAAATCAACACCAACAAATAACCTAAAAATTGTACAAGCTGCAATGAGATATCTAAAGAACCATAAAAAACAGCTCTGGTTGCATAAAAATATAATTTTACTCCTCATCCTCAAAAAGAAAAAAAAAAAAAAAAAAACTCAAAAGAAATTACTAAAGTTATAATAATTTGACGATCCATCATCGTCATCTTAAAGGGGAAGAATAAGAAGGATGGGTTTATGAAGTGTCGTATTAATGCAGCTTTGGATGTGAATGATAATCAAACTTAATAAAGAAAATCTCACACAAAAATTGAAAAACAAAAAAGAAGCTTGAAAGGGACATTCTAACGAATATCTACAATGCAAGTTATAATACACAAAAAAAGCAAATAATTAAAAAGGATAAATTCAATCTTCAATCAATGGATTCTCAATGCTTGATATTATTGACAGAAGGAAAACAAAATACTAAAAATTGTAATTTGCTCAAGGAATGACTGGTATTAACTTTACTTCTTTTGACTAGAATTGCTTTAGACATAATAGTGAAAGTTTTTGATATCCCGTCATCTAAGCTTCTATCACAAGTCATTAAGGTGACGTTTGGTTGGGGTTAACAAAAGAGGGAGGTTGTAGTTACCGAAAAATAAAGATTTTGGGCTTGTTTATTTTTGATTTTTACAATCTCTGTTTCCCACACTTATAATCTCTGTATGCCTTAAATATGGTTGTTGAGTGATCTCTTATCAAAAAATGGTTATACATATATATATATATATATATATATGTTTTATTCAATTGCAAATTATTATTTTTGAGTGAACTATTTTCAATTATTATATTTATAAATATTATAGGGATATTTTTTATCATTGCTGACGTCTCATTTAATTAATACAATTTTATTTTTCGAAAATTCAATATATGGCCAAACACAATTACATTATACTTTCTAAAAAGCAAATTTCTCGAAATTCTACTTCCTATAAAGTGAACTTTCCAGGAAGTAGTTTAGAAATAAACCAAATGAGGCATAAGTCACTTATCACCTGTTATCCAGTCCGATACTTACCGGCATTTGACTAAACAAGCCACATGAGGGTGGGGGCTGGCACTTCGCAAGCAAACACACACAAAGAATCAGCAACTCCCTCATGGTATGCCCATGCTCCTCCCTCCTAAGGGCCCCCGCGATCGGTGGACACTGGACAGCCGACAGCCCATCACGCGGCGCCACCGGCTTTCTCGTCCCAAGTCAATATCTTTCTTTTATGTTCACATTGTCGGGATCCAATGTTTCCGACACCGGCATTGACTATCAAATTAATTTATAGCAAAAACTCCGCAGTTCACAAAAATAAAAAAATAATATATCTTCACGTGAAATAATTGCAAACTTCCTACGCTAATAGACAAATTGCAAACTTCATACGCTAATAGACAAAAGATTGGAGCTTCCATTCTCCACCACAAATATTATTGAAATTTACTTAATTAATTCTTCGACTAGCTTTAAATTGCTAATAAATTTAATTTTAAGATTTATTCATTAACCAAGGTCTACGTTATATAATTTTTCTTTTTTTTTTTACATATTTTTTCACGGTCAAACTAAGAGTAATATTGCAGATAAAATTTATTTTAAAATGCAGTTATTTTTTATTAATCCAACAGTCTTTTGATAAAATGCTTCAAGCAAAATTAAATCTAAGTAATAAAAAGTAAAAATTTTACATCTTTATCAACTGGATTAATTTTAATGAGTATTATACATTATTTTATTAAACACAGATTTCGGAGCATGAAATCAAATTTAAAAAAAAAAAATTAAAGGAGAATATATATCAATTGATAAATTGTATTCGAGTATAATGAGGCAGCTTTATTAATTATGTTTATAAACTTTACTAATCAATTAATAATATTCAACCGGTGTCTCAGGACAACTTTCATCTGATACAACTTCTCTAGTAAATGGAGAAGGAACATAAGGTGGAGGTGTACATCTTAACAATGCCCAATTGACTCCTTGGAAGAAGGGATGGTGCTTAATAGCTGAAGCACCCATTGTAGAACCCAATCTCCTAGCAGGGTCCTTAGCCAATAGTTGCGAAATCAAGTCTTTTGCCGTAGCTGGCACGGCAGGTTCTTTAGGAAATTCGAGAGCTCTAGCTACAATATTAGCTAGGGTTAACTCATGGTCCACACCTCTAAATGGTGTGACCCCATAAAATAATTCAAACATAAATATCCCTAATGTCCACCAATCCACAGGACTACCATGACCTTCACCGGACACAATCTCCGGCGCCAAGTACTCATGGGTCCCGACGAATGACATGGACCGGACATCAATGGGCTCAGCCACGAACTCAGGCCCACCGTGGTGGCCTGTCTTCTTTTTTCTCTTGCGTTTTGGATGGAAGCATGAGACAGCTGGAACCATACAGTTTGGGATAATACAAGAAGATGAAGTGTAAGGAGGTTGATCAGAAGGGTAGCCATTTTTGGGAGCTAAAGTAGGTGGATTTTTGTTAGTGATGATTTGAGGGGTTGATGTAGAATCATCACATTTTAACGAAAGATCAAAATCTGTAAGCATTATATGACCGTCTGATCGTACTAATACATTTTCTGGCTTAAGGTCACGATAAACAATTCCCATCATGTGAAGATACTCCAAAGCTACTACTACTTCTGATGCATAGAACCTGTAATTAACATATATAATCACAACATTAAATATAAAAACCTCAAAACAATAAATAATTTTTTTAATATTTTTTTCCCATCACATAAAATAACACTCCTTTCCGCAAACTAGTTCATTATTCATGCCAAACAGAGTCCAAGCTTAAGTTCATTGGTTGGTGATGCGTTGAATATTTAGGTGCAAATGTAATAATTATGCATCTAAGCAGAAAAATAATTGAGATGCTGCAAGAGTGCTAAAAATGGGGCTAAGGGACCTACTACTAAATACTAATAGATATTTGTTTATTGGCAACCTGGATTTGTATGTACATATATATGTATATATTGTTTTTTCTAATCATGACGATTAATTAAACTAAGACAATTAATTTTTTTATAGCTCTAATATTGCAACAAACAGAAAAAATATAACAAGTTGAAGAAAAAGGAGAATAAGGCATAGAAAGAAGATATATTGACAGGAGAGGTGGAGAAATAAAGCAAATAAAGCTCCTGATCTTGTGTCCTCTGTATGTACCACATTCTTTTTTTTTTTTTTTTTTTTTTTTTTTTTCTAATCATGACGGATTAATTAAACCTAAGACCAATTAATTTTTTAATAGACTCTAGATCTTTGAGCACAAGACAGAAAGAATAACAAGTTGAAAAAGGAGAATAGGCCACTAGAAAGAAGATACTGACAGGAGAGGGTGAGAAATAAGCCAAATAGAAGCTTCTGATCATTGTGGTCCTCTGTATGTATTTTTTTTTTTTTTTTTTTTTTTTTTGTACTATACATGTAGACTTTTTCTTTATACCTAGTATTTTAGGTTCAAACTCATGTGAGAAGTTGGAAAATAATTATTGTATTAACTATATATATTGGAACTAATTGGATTTGTGGTCAACTTTTGATTTCAAAATTTTTCACTAGTCTCTCTGTCTTCTCTGCTTTATGCTGACAAAGAAAAAGAGGCAAAAGAACCATAAAATGACTAAGAGGATAAGGATAGCATGTCTCAATCTGTTTCTTAATTGGAAAAGAGTATGAGAGAAACTGATGGTGTATGTTAACAAGGCCAAAAAAAGAATCAATGAAATGAATTTGGGGCCACAATTCACCAACCTAAGGTACAGTCTGAAAAAGAACTCCCTGAATTTCACTTCATGGTGCAACCAAAAAAAAAAGAAGATTTTGGATTTCCATGGCCCAGGAGATATTTTGACTGAATTACTAGGGAATAATAACTCAGTAAGCAATAACAAATTATACCACATTTTTTACAAGGAAACCCTAGCAGAAGATTTGAGATTTGCATAAAGAGATTTCATGTTGAAATTCTAAATAGAGCAGAAGAGATTATGATGAATGAGAAAGCTACCACTATTATGCAGCTTATTTGAATTCCAATATGTTAAAAAAAAACAACATATTATAAGGGCCTCACTAAAACTATAAAAGAAATTAAAATATTTTGGGACCTCATAGTTTTGAATGAATTATTTAATCCATTCGATACAATAAGTACAAATTCATAATTTATATATATATATATATATATATTCGATACAATAAGTACAATCATAATTATATTATATGTACTTATATGAATTTTTTCTGAATTTTAATTGAGTATTATGTGAATCATTAATAAGAATGAAGCTATCACTTAATTAATATTTTATACAAGTCTTTTTTTTTTTTTTTTCAGTATAAAGAAAGAAGAATAGTACATATGCTTGTTATTTATATAATTTTTTAAAAAATATTTTTTTCATGCATCAAAAGGAAATTTAGGATTAAGAACAATGGGATATTTATACCCAACGAGCACCTTCAAGAATGAATATTAAACATCTTGAAATTGAAATTAGCTTCATAAACATAATCACCTGTTCTCTAAGTAAGGAATAAAAATGGACAAGTGGGTTTTCTTGCTTGTAAAAGCACAATTGGCCCCATTACTCAATAGACAATGACTACCCACCATAACCCAATTAAGATTTTCGTCATGCAAGTATTAGGTGAAATATCCATGCATATTTCTTAATGGGTAACACAACTGGTATCTTATCAGTGTTATAAACAAATTAATTAACATGGTTGGTGTCCATTACTATAAATTTCACAACCACCAATAGTGGTAACATTTACCTCTCCTTAATTTTCCATCAATTGTAAATGACAGTGGATACTGTTTGAATTAGAACCCAACGACCACACCAACAATATTAATAAAAAAAGTGGCAAGACAAAATATCAGCAAATAGAACCCATTTACATTTTTTATTTCTTAGTTTATTTACCTATTTTTGGACTTCTAACTTATAATATTTTCATAGTACTGAAATTGATTTAACTTAATAACTCTAAGGAAAATTTAATAATTATATCACCCTCACAAACTAGTTTGTATTATATCTACTGTTCATTCACTTATAAATTTCTTAATTATTTTATTATTAATCACTATGGAAGTCACATCATCAACCTTTAATTCCAGAAAATTTTGTGAAATTCATATAAAATTTTTTGTATGAATCGAATTCAATTCTGTCAGAATTTGAACGTAACAAAATCAAATTCTATAAAAAAAGGTAGAATTTCCAAAAATATTTTCGAACGAAACGAGTTCAATTCTATAAATTTGAATATAACAAAATCAAAGCTTACCAAAAAATTTTAAAATTTCTAAATGATTCCAAAAATTTAAACAATCCAAAACTTTATTACAAATCTACCTATCCTCCTATTGCAAGATACTTTAGAAAATTTATTTACAAATTAATCTTATTTAGAATGCATCTGTACATTTTGAATTTATTTATTCAATTAATAAATGTAAAGTAAAATTAAGAATAAATATAATTTTTAAATTAAATTTTAATTAAAATTCCAACTCATAATGTCGTAATCCAGAACTTAGGCCATTTCTATAATGCCCACATGATTCCATTCCTGCTACATGATTGATAATTTACTTTGCTCTGCTAGTAAAACATGATCGACTCCTTTAAAAAATTTAAAGAGTAAAAGAAGTCAAACCTTAACTACGTGGACAACACCACACGTGATCATTCTCTTCTCCCTACCGAAATCGGGAACGATCCAGTGTACGTTTAACGCATCATAAATTCCATTCACTCGGAGAGTAACTAATAGAAACGAGAAAGTACCAACGACGGTGACCAATCCCGTGGGCCCACATCTGACAGCAACCGTGCCCTCTCCAGGTGGTGGGCCCATCGCCTGATCCATCACTCTCGTCGTCGGTCTTTACTCCTTAGTGTTCAACGTTACTTACGCACACATATAGAATAATTACCCGAAAATTATTTATAAAAAAAAACAATTACCGTTAAGAAAAAGGAAACTCCATATTTTTTTTAAAATAAAGTGGAAAATAGCTAACGTGCGCACCTGACGGCGGTTTCCTCGAATCGTTTAAGAGGCTGACGTTGGCGGAGGACGTGAAGGTCACCGCCGGGACAGAACTCAGTCAACAAACAAAGCCATCTCTGCGAGTCTATACTCGCATAAAGCGTAGGCAAGAAAGGATGATCCAACATTTCCAATATTTCTCTTTCAGTCTTCGCCCTACCTTCTTTGCTTCTACTGGCCAACTCCTTCTTATCCATTACCTTCGCCGCAAAAATCGGGGAATCCGTCCCGCCGGAATCATGTTTCTTCAGCTCCGCTAGATAAACAGAGCCTATATCACCAGAGCCAAGACGGACAGAGAAGCGGAGATCGGTGAGGGAGAGAGACTGGTGGTGTTTTCCGGATTTGGAGGAGAAGGATGTGTGAGTTGAAGGTGCAGGAGTGAGTGTGGCACAGGACGAGCCAGAGCTTGTACTACGCTGGAGAGTGGTGGTGGTTATAGTGGTTGTGGCAGTGGAAGCGAAACTCAGGCTTTGAAGGTCTTCGGCTAAATCGTCCTCCAGCCATGGTTCCATTGGAGAGAGAGAGAGAGAGAGAGAGAGAGAGGCAAAGAAGGGAGGGGTGAAAGGTTTAATTTAATTTTTGAAGGGAGAGTGAAGTGGATAGTGGGCCGGGTATGGGCCGAAAAATGGGCGATAAGGTGTTTGAATGGTTAAAATGGTGGGCCGTGGTTGTTGTGGAGACAGATTGCCCCTAATTATATGCCGATCATGGTATCTAATCAAGGGGATTATGTCTATATTTGATTCTTGTTGCTTAGTTTCTTTTAACAAGACATAGATTAGAGTGATGACAAATTTTTTTTTTTCCCTTTTTTCCATGTGCCTATAAGCTGTAACTCATAATCAGGATTGGATGAGAAATTATTTATTATATTATTATTTTTACCCTATTAAGATGAAATTATGAGGTTTGAAAATTTTTATTTCCATCCCATCTTTTTTCTTCATAAATAGAAATAATTTGAAGATTTTGATTATTCTCTAGTCTCGACTTTAATTTTGGGAACACTATATATTCTAAAACATTGGTATTCTAAGATTTCTTGGATTTTGTTGGTTCCCATTGTAATATTTCCTTATATATATAAGATAGAAGAAAGCTAGAGCTTAAATATTATAGATATGAGAGGTTGGAGTATCTTCTCTAATTATTATTTAACAAACAAGCAAAAGAGTCATTTAAATATCTAAAAGTTTAATAATCCTAAATATCCTAAATGTAGAATCTAGGTATTTGATTTCACATTCCACAGATTTTATCATTAATAAAAAAACGATAATAAAAAATTATACACCAAAACATAGCTCAGTAAAAGTGTATATACGATCTGACGATATGTTTTGGTTCAAATTTTCTCTTTCCCGATACTCAAAAAAAAAAAAATCTAAAACAATGGAATTCATTAATTCTATGGTTTATTGTCTATTTTTTCTCAATTAAAATAAAGAATTTCAATTAAAAATTTGGTAACATTTCCAATTATGTCCAATATTTTATTAACCATGTGTCCACATATTAAGATAAGTGTGAATTACAGCTAGGCTTGAAAAAATTAGTGCAAAGTTCATCAAACTTACAAAACCAAAATAACAATTACTGGCATTGTATAAATCATTTTTAGAAAGAGTAAAAAAGTAATTAATTTTTCTAAATTATAATAAAATCAAAAATAATTTGTGAAGATATTTATTCTATCTAATACAAATAAGAGTAATATTAAAAAAAATATCACTTATTACTCTTTATAATATTCAAAACGATTTATATTTTAAGACAAAATAACTATTATAAAACGACTTATATTTTAAAATATATAGAGCAGTAAATTGCACTAAAAATGAATTAGTAATTTGCAACCATCCCCATCAAGTGGTGCAAAATGTATTAATTACAAATATTAAGGACAAAAGAAAATTGTGGATTAAAAAGCATGGTTGGTCCATGTCAAATAAAGAAATTTAATTTCATTGTCCAGCTATAAATCTGCAGGTCTTTCTCATGCATGGTGATAGAGTCAGCTTAGCTACTTGGCTGGTTTTTATACCATCAAAAACATTAGCAAAAGACATAATTCCCTGTCCCCTCTTCTTATCTCTTTATTAGTTTAACTTCAATTGAAAATGACCCACAACATAACAACCCACAAAATATAACTTTATATATTTATATATATTATCAAAAATTTTTATAAATTTTAAATTTATTATCAATAAGAAGAAATTTTCTTTCAATTCCATACATAAATCGACAAATATGGCATCTTGAAAGGCTTCATAGACTTTATTATTCTGCTCCAAACTGTCTTTTACAAAATAATAATAATAATAATTTTGTTTAAATAAAACTTCATTCTGAATTCTACACTTTTAATTCTATGAAAATTGTAATACTTTGATCAAATTCTATTAAAATTAATAAAACTTACGAATAAACTTTAAAGAAAAAGGAGTAAAATTTTAAATATAAATTATTAAAATTATACATTTATAATAATTTTTATAATCGATCACAATATGAAAACGAAACATTAATAGTTGCAAACGGTATAAGAATGCGAAACTTTTTGACTCTTCTAATCTGACGATAGTATATATTTTATGTTGATATTCTCGAGCAAACTTTTGTTTTTAGAGAAAATTATTATTACGTCCTTATACAATGGTCAAATACACTAGTCAGGACCTATTTTTTTCTAAAATACATAACTACGTCTTTAACTTTTATTATCGTCCTAACATTTAGTCCTTCCTATCATTTTAAGTGATTTCACTTTTAAGGAGTTCACTTTTGTATTTTCCATTCTAGTTCGATTCATTTTGAACTAAATCAACTGTTTGCTTACTCTACATTTAGTCTCAGTTCGGTGTCTTAATAGTAGGTTCTAAATTAATGGAGAGAGAGTGAAATTTATTTTTGTATTAAAAAAGCTAAGAGATACTAAAAATCCAATCCTTAAAAATTTTTATTGTTTAAGCAGGTGGTATTGATGCTCCTAAAGGTAATATCCGGATTTTAAGCCTCTGATAGAGAAACATTCTATTTCCACTTATCTAATTAACTATCAATCCTTTGAAAGTTAATCTTATTAACTTAATTTTGTTTTCATTTAAGAAAATTTTCTTTTTTTTTTTTATTTTTATTCAATTGGTCCAAAGACTGATTATAGGAAGCCACATGCACGTTGAGTAAACCCCGCAACATATTTTTAGTAGGTAGAAACAAAGATTCTATTGAATGATTAGAATGGTTTTATTTCAATTAAATTTTTAAAATTATTTTAAAATTTAATAATATAAAATATTGACTCTTTGAGTAAAGTCCCTGCAATTTCGCAATTTTATTCCTAACTAGATTGAAATTTCACCTCCACACCCAAAACATTTCTTACAAATACGTCTATACATTTTTATATCTATCACTTTCAAATTGTATTTAGTCACCGTGAGATTGCTTTAAATTGCTATCATTTTCTTCTATTAAATATGGTTTGAAATTTTGAAACTCTGAAATTTCGTGCCTTATAAATAAATAAAAATTTTCAAAATTAATAGTTAGTTATTTTATTTATCTAATTTATTTTATGATTTTTTTTTATATTTCATCTACCACTCTCCTTTGTTTTTTTTTTTTTTTAAAGGAAAAGATGTTCTAATTATTATTAGCATCTGAAAGAAGAACATCACAGAGAATAGATGGAGGGGTTAAAATCCACTCCATGGGATGACACATAAAATTAGTAGCCCGAGCTAATTGGTTAGCCACTTGATTCGCTGATCTCTTAACAAAAGAAATACAAACTGAAGTAAAATCTCTTAGAAGAGACGTACAATCATTCATAACAGATACAAAATATGAGAAATTTGCAGAAGGCTTTGTCAAAGCTTGAATAACAACCAAGCAATCACCTTCAAGCTGTAACCTTTCCTGTGGGTATCTATCCTTCAGCCAGCTCAAAACCTCCCTCATTCCCGTTGCTTCTGCCATTAACACATCTTGAGCAACACCCAGCACCTTCATTTTCCCAGCAACACATTGGCCAAGGTGGTTTCGTAGATCCAATCCACACCTGCTCTTCTCGAAGTAGGATTGAAACTGGCATCCACATTACACTTCAAACCATGAGGAGGGGGTTGCCACTTAGCTGTAACTTGTGAAGACCGAACAGCAAGAGGAGAACCCCTAGATAGTCTTGCTGCTTGCCAAGAGTTAAGATGGACTTGTGCTTTCCTTACAATTGTTAACGCTTGTGAGGTCTGATGATTCCACACAAAAGCATTTCGCGCACGCCAGATTTTCCGTGCCACCACAGCAGCCTCACAAAGTAAAGCTCGACTATTTCTACTAGAGATTATTTGAAACCAACTTTGAAAAGAATCAACACTATACCACCAGCCCACATTTGAAGCAATCCAGCATTCCTTAGCATAAACGCACTGTACGAGACAATGGAGAATCGTCTCAACTTCTTGATGGCATAACGAACACTGCAGCCCAACCTGCGCATGTTTAGAAGCGAGTAAGCTGTTAACAGGTAATACATTTGATAGAGCACGCCATTAAAAATTTGAAACCTTGGCTGAAATTTCAGGACCCCACACTTTCTTCTAAATCTCAGGTGATAACAATGGCTGGATATTTTGTTGGGTATAAAGCTGACAATATGCACTCTTTACATTATAAATCCCCTTGCAATCCCACTTCCAAAACCACCTATCAGCTCCTACACTTCTACTCAAAGGTATCTGCTGAATTAGCTGGACCTCATGATCATAAAAAAGTTCCTGCAATAACTCATTATCCTAGAAACGAGTGTGCTGCAACATTAAATCGGCAACATGTAAATCATCAAAACCAAGGCTGTTATGTGATTGAATATAAGGTGATACCATATCAGGCAGCCAAGGAGAATTATATACTGAAATCGTTAAACCATCCCTGATATGTCTAGATAAACCCGACTTTAATAAACCTTGGCTAGCAATCAAAGAACTCTAGATATAGCTTGGATTTCTCCCTATTTCAGCTTGCAAAAAATCATGAAAAATACCTCGCCTTATGTAATCTGCTAACAAGAGACTCAGGTTTATTGAGGAAATGCCAACCATATTTAGCTAATAAAGCCACATTAAAATGTCGCAAGGATCGAAAAACAACACCACCATCAAGCTTATGTCAACACTGATGGAGATATACTATTAACCATGCATATGTAATAGTATAGCTATGAATGATTTTCTATTGACAATTATTTCTTTGTATTTAATTGGAAATTTGCATTAATAAATGTTATTAGCATATGAACAATAATTGTGATTAGTACATTTTGTATGTAAGTAAATTTGTATTATTTATTGGGCTAAGTAGAGATATGGATGTTTTTTTAGTAATGACTGTTAAACATATTCTCTAAGACATTAGAAATAATGTTTATTGTTCTTAATCTTGATTTATTTTAATATGAGCAAACATTGATTGTCTTATGCTTTGATTCATTAAAGGATGAGTTTCATTATTGGAATAATATTCTCGGTGAATTGGGCAAAGCTTTTTGTGTTTGTGA